CAAGTCTGATTTATTTTTTGGTGATCTTCATTTTGGGCCCTCGTCATGGAATTAAGTGATATAGGCTTGGACTAACAAACATGGTTTCCATATTTTAGGACTAATTTTTTTTTAGATTGCTCAATATCCTGAAAATTTAAGAATATTGAGCACAACAAAACATGCAGTTAACTGCCTGTGTAAAGGTTGGGCATCCAATAACTTGCATATCTACTAGGTATTGTATTTTTATTGGTGATTGTTTGATTTCTTTCTTTCTTCCTTTTTTTTTTTTAATGTGTTCACAGTTGTTTGATTTCTTACTGCTTACCGCTTTGATTTATTAAGGCAATCTATCAGAGGCAATATTATTCCAAAAGCAGTATTTATACAAACTATTTAGTTAGCTACAGAAGCTTCTTTCATATCACAACATCAAGATTATGTTCTACCACTTACATCATGACAATATCAGCATTAAATTAATTGCCTCCAATCAAGTCTTTCATGATAAGAAAAGCATTTTGAGGTTGATTATCTTTCCAGTAGATAGATTGACGCGAGGCATCATTTCCCTTCCATGTGTTCCATTTGAATATGGAAATGCCTACAATCAAGTATGTCATAGTGAAATACAGCATATTGGGGTGGATTGCCATTCTATAAGAGAAATGTTGACACCAGGTTCTCACATCCCATTGATATCTTTTGTCAAAAGATCATCTTCCATACATGGCTATCAAATTGCCGCTTGTCAACAATAATGCGCTAGTTTAAAGAGGGCTAGTGGAATATATCTATGCTCATCAAGGACATATGTGTTACTTGGACAATGTTAGTGCATTCTATCTGTTAGTGTATACGAATCTGGATATGTTAGCAATGGCACTTCTCTCATTTACAACCCAAAGACCATTACAACTGATTAATTTATCATTCAAATAATGAAAATCCGATTTCCCTATACACCCATACCCTCCATGAGTGGTTGCATGCTAACTTTCCTGTACAGTACAAACTAAATGGAGTCAAAAACCCAAAGCTTAAGAAATTCTCCCCCAATAAAAATTCAAAGACAATAGAGAAAGAAGATACACCATTGTCATTCTCACAGCAAATTCCATACCATTATCACTGTGCAAACTTAAGGTTCCATTTTCAGAATGAACAAAGACCAACCCAGATCATCTATCCTTTTGCTTTCACTCATCCAAACATATTTGAGTCCTCCATAAAGTATTAGGTTTCAACACTCTACTCGCCACACTCCCCAAAAAACAGTACATCTCTGTAAAACCCATTTTGCAAGAAAAGACCTGGCACACAACCTTAGATCCGTACTTTGAAGAATCCCATCATATATGGAGTTGCAAACCAACTCTCAACTGACCAGGTGCTTCCTCTTGACTGCCCACGCACCAAGCACAATAAGAGCTCTGTAAGATTAACAGTTATCACACTCATATATAACTCAAACGAAGTGCGATACAGTGTCAACCTCTAATGTTGAAACAACAACAATAGTGATCAAAACAGTTTGATACCAAATAAAGCATTAGGCCACAAAGCAAAAGGTGGCATTCTAAAGTTAGGAATTGAAGCCCAACTAATCAGTCTTACCCAAGTCTTCACCAACTACTACACATCTACATCTATACCAAGCCCTGAGTTAAGCAATGTCAGATTCAGATAGATATTGAAACTAGTCAGTTTTCCAAAAGGATCATAGACGTCAAATTTTTTGGCCAGATACTGCTGTAGATTTATTCACATTTAGCAAAACAATGCTCTTATATTTAAATAATAAAAATTAAGTAGCAAATGAGATCATAGCTCAATAGTAAATTGAATGGTTTTAACTCAAAAGGTCACAGGTTCAAGCCCATAATACATCACTCTGTTTCAGCATGCTTCCCCCCTCAAGGTGTGTTGACATGTGTCTTAAGTATCAACACATGTCAACATCTGACATCAATGATGATCCCAAGTGGCGTGGTCACACTAGAGCTGAAAACAAGTTTCAAATTGGGTCTCCCTTCTAGTGTATCAAAACACGCTAGGCGGGTCCTAGGTCGGCGCCCAGAACCTGGGCAGCTGCCCAGTTGAAAAAAAAGTAAAAATCCCAATATATACTATATTCCAAGTTGAAAAAAAAAAAAAAAAGAAAAGATGGAGGTCGAGAAGAGAATTTTGATAATCCATATTGTTAAAACAATAAACTGTAAAACCCTACAAGTGTAGGATATAAAAGTCAACACTCAACACAACAGAAATATACAGAAATTTAGAAAATATACAATCTAACAAAAGTCAACACACATGACTCAACACAACAGTCAACAGACTCAACACTCAGCACCAAGAGGCAAGAGTCTTCATTTATCATCATCATTATCATCATCAGAAGGAATATCAATAAGGCAAGCCTCATCATATGCATCAGAGTCGAGGCCATCATCATCAGAGTCATCTCCCTCTTCAATATAACGCTCGTCCTCTTCTGTTTCTTCTGAATCTGCCTCTTCTTCCTCCTCGTCTTCTACATTCCTCTTATTCTGTGCATGTGAGGCCCTAGGAGTCTTGGCTGCTCTACCCTTTTTTTTGTGCTTCTCTGAACTCAACTATTGTATAATTTCCTCTTTGGTAGCCTCAAAAACATTTTTACACAGGGCAACATCCCCCGTCATACTGGCAAGGCATTTTTTAAACCAGTAAATGCCCCCATTAGTATCCTTTCCACAATAATTACATTTAATATGATTTTTATCACTTGGATTATAACCATACTTCCAACCATAATCATCACTCCAACTAGAAACTGGAGAAGATACTTCCATAGGACAAGGCTTCTTTTCATCTTTTTTTGGTTCTTCAAAGTTCAGAAGATGTCTAATCTTATCTCAAACTGCTTCAAGAACCTAAGAAGCAACATTACCTCTAACACCAGGAAGGTGTTTTTTTAATCAACTAATACCCCCATTGGTATCTTTTTTACAAAAAATACACCTTATACAATTTTTATCATTTGGTGTTAGGTTGTACCCATACTTCCAACCCGGATCACTTTTTCTAAGAGTTGCAGAAATAGATCTGTTACAAGGATTTTGTTCTTGTTTTTGTTTTCCATAACTTAAAAATTGCTTAATCTCCACCTTGCTAGCTTCAGAAACATTTTTACAGGGGTCAACATCCCCCTTAATACCAGCAAGATGTTTCTTAAACCGGTTTATGCATCTTTTTGTATCTGTTTCACAAAAATTGCATCTAACGCAATGTTTGTCATTTGGATTTGAGTTGTATCCGTATTTCCAACCCGGATCTCTACTCCGACTAACACCTGAAGAAGACATCTCAAAATAAAACAAGCAATCTAAAAAATGCACTTACTTTGGTTGCTTGAACTCTAGACTTTAAGAAACACTTTGATGATTTGATCCAATGAAATGTAGTTTTTTGGAGGTTTCTATTACTCTAAAAGGGGTCTGATGGGTTTAGGGTTCAAATAAACCTAAAAGCCATCATTCTTAACTTTTATATCTTTGAAAAAAATAGAAAAAAAAAAAACAAGTTTTCCACCTCTAGGCAGGGCGATGGCCCTGGGCGGCCCGCCCAAGGACCACCGCCCAGCTTGGCTGCCTAGGCCTGAGCAATGTGCCAAGGCCACTTCTGGACCGCCTAGGCACTGGGCGGTCCGCTTTTTAAATCATTGCTCCCTTCAGTATATGAATTCTGAGTTTGTTGAGGGGTGGGCCCAACCAAGTGATAATGAACCAACAAATAAAATTAAAATGATTGGTAATTATAAATCCTCTATCATAATATTAATTTCACTCATGTCATTTATAATTATATTGAAGATATTATCATTAGTTGATACATATGATGCAAAATGACCAGAAAAGAAGTTAGTTGCTCCAAAGGTTTCGCTATCTACTAGTTCATGGTGGCTAAAACACATTCCTGTCAAAAACTTGAATAATGTTGGAGAACCATCATCTACATCAATTTAGAAAAGTATGCAAGAAATAATGAATAGAGAACAAAGTGAAAAGCTACAAAACAAGTCAAGGAGGTCCAGAATCAAGAAAAGGAGAAATCCAATAGCATTTCATTCAAGTTTAACCAAAGCACAAAAGATAATGATCCGGTCACCCATGGAATGAACAATTCTAACTGAAATTAATGGCAAACTTGCATTATGAATTACGGTTTGACGACTCAACTCCTGATAGGGATACTAGAACTGGTAATTCCAGAAAAGTCTTGGGAGACCACAGTAAACATGGTCAAGCTTGGAGTTAAAGCCACATGGATTCAACAAGGCCTTAGAAGCATAGCAGCTTGCAGAGGAATATGCCCAATTAAAGAGAACTTTTTGAGGGGAACCAAGTGAAAGGTGGGAGCAGGGGCAGGAGTATGGAGTATGGTAAAATTCTAGGCTCGTGCTTGGTGTTGAATGAAATATTTGCAAAACTGGTTCCATGCATAGTGAACCATGCCTTCAATATAGAGGCTTCACTTTCAGGGATGGCATGGTACAAAATGATAATAGGGTGATCTAACCTGATATCTAGAAGGTACAGTGAGATGTTGAGAACAGATTGAGGACTTCTATGAGTTTAGAGAGAATACACTAATTGAAGAATAGAAGATGATAGATTTAGTAAACTTTCTTAACCTCATGCCTGGTAGGTAAGTTGTTGAAGGATTTCTATAAGCATGATTCAGTGGCAGTTTTCAGTTACCTAGGACTGGCAAGAAGGAAGAGGCTTAACAGATATTATCAAGGCATAGATCTAGAGGCCATTACTAGCTCAGCCGGCACATCATTGAAGAAAAAACCCTATCAGGCTCATTATATCATCCTCCCCCATGATTATCGGCGGAGTCCTGTCATTTCTTTATCCTCCCCACTAAATTATATTCATACCTATGTCCCCGTGATTACTCATTCATGGAACTTGAAGTATATCAACTCTGTTAACCATCAAAAAACTATTAAAGAATAGATAAGCACATACCGTGGCTACACTGAATGCAGGTCCCAAACTTCTCTTTGCATAAGCAACATGATAGCTTCTTCTGTGATTCCTTCTTTCTGTCAGTGCACCTGATCGGTTCCATTGTCCTGGTGTTCTCAACATAGAACTCAGGCGCCCATTGACAACAAAACAAATGGGCAAACTTTACAGAATTACCATTTTCACTATCACCATCATTAGCCAAGGGTTTCAGAGCTCCTCTCCCATTTGGGCAAAATAAACAAGGTTTTGATGATAACTGAGCTCCCTGATTAGTTGAACCATCAGTGTTCTTCCTCTGCAAAATATGGGAGCACCACGAGCACAGCCACTCCCCCGAAGAAATGTCTTGCACACCATAGCATTTCTGATGAACCGAGACACCACAATCATCACAGGCCAAAATCTTATTTGTTTCCTCGCTTGTTTTGCCGGAACACACATGGCAGATGGCTGAATCACCTTTCACAACAGGAGATACTGCTATTCTCTCAGTCTCGTCCGCGGAAGTAACAACGAGCTTCCTCTTCTTGGCAGGACGCTTTAGAGAGAGAGACTTTTGCTTCATGCTCAAGAGCTGCTCCATGTCGCGAGACTCCACCACTCTGACAGCGGCAATAGTAGGCTCAGTGGGTGCAGGAGTAGAGAGAGAAACCTTCCCCTCTTCAGATGAAGTCAGTGCAACGTCATCGTGTTTCTCTTTCTTCTCCTTGTTACCCGAAAATTCGGGCGAGTTAGTATCAACCTCCATTAAAGAAATGCCACAATTGGGATTGCCCTTCTTCTTCTCCTCCTCCATCTTAGAGGCCGCCACTATCTCCTCTAATATATGAGGAGATAAATGAGTCACGGGTTTCATCTCTTCCAACATGCGACCAGAGAGATAACCTGCATCTTCCCTATCCTCTACAGAGAGAGAACTTGCACTTTCCCTCTCCTCGGACACATGAGGAGAGAGAAAGCTTGAATTCACATTTTCTTCCAAGACCAGTGCTTCTCCACTTCTTCTAAGAACAGGGGGCACGAGGGAGAAGCAAGGGTCGGGGTCCTTAAGGCTCAACCTCGTCTGTGGCGTGAGAGAGTCGATGTCATCAAGGGTGACCTGTCTAAAGTAATCCTCTGTATCAACCCAAAGGCTCGAGGAAGAAGCAGAAGCAGAAGCAGAAGCAGAAGCGGAACCATGGGACCCTGCCTTTGAAAGCTTGGCAACAGAAGAAGGAGGAGCAGCGGCTTCATGCAAAAGCCCCCTATTCTGCAACTTCCTGTTCTTTCTCCTGTTGCTCTCGCTCCAAAACTTGGCAAGGAACTGAGCCAATCCAACAGGGAGGGTGGGAACCCTAGCTAGGGCTTCTTCTGGTTCGAAAGGGGATCGCTCAGAGAGAGCCTTCCTCGCCTGAACAAAGGCATCCATGCCCCTTTTCGCATCAGTGGTCGAGGTTCGCTCCGCTATGGCAGTGGTGGTCTTTCTGGCTATGGGGGTGGCCTTGTGAACTCGGCAACTGCTCTCTTCCGTGCCGCAGCCTCCTTCCGCTCCCCTACCCATCATCTTCCATCAATGCCTCATTGCAGGGAAACCCTAAAATGGACCACAACTCATCTTTTAGATAGAGAGAGAGACGGAGAGAGAGGATGGTGGTACCAGAAATGTGCGCGCGTCAAGGAGGTAATAACCGACTGATGGGGGGGAAGAAATTAGGGTTCCTGGATCCGAGCCAGTTAGAGAGAGAGAGAGTTTTGTTGTTTTAGAGAGAAAGAGAGATTGGTTGTTTTAGAGAGAGAAGAGAGCGTGGGTGCGTTTCGTTGGTCTGCCTTTTTCTTGATTTCTTGCGAGGGTTGTTGCATTCGCCGAGGAGTTTTGGAGCGATCTCGGAATTTCAGTTTTTTCCCCTTTTCTCTCTCCTCTTTTGGTTTATGTTGATCTAATATTAATAGAAAAATGTTTGATTATTGTAGTGATGGCGCAGAGAAAGAAGAAAGGAAAAAGGGTATTAAATAAGGTTGGGGATCGAGGCTTGTCCGACGTGCTGCTGACCGACCCGGACGCCTCTGTCCCAGCCGGGTGGCTTAAGCCCAAGGGCGCACCCGCTCCCCACTATCCGTTTACATGTACACTATCCGTTTACATGTACACGTGCAAGCTACTCGTCTCCAACGTGCACACACTCAATCGTGATCATGGTTACACATGCTTTTTACCCTTACGAAAATTGTTTTATGCGGGCTGGACCCATTTTTACATATGCGGTCCAAAAAGTGTAAAGTATCCATCTTTAATAGGTGTTTCATCTAAAACTATCAGTCCAAATGTTTTTTTATTAAAATTATTATTTTTAATTTTTTGGAGAAATTATCGTAAATATACTTTAATTTTAGCTTAATTGAAAAAAAACCCCAAACTTTTGTTAACTTCATATACACTCTTGTTCCTCATTTTTACCTTTTTTTGGACCAAAATAATCTTCACGCTAATTGTATTACCATGAAGAACATTACGGTACTTTAAGTACAATAATATTTAATGCATTTTATACAGTACTTTAAGTACCGTTATACTTAGGCATTTTATATGGTAGTTTAAGTACCGTAATTTTATAAGCATTTTATACAACACTTTTAATACCGTAGTATCTCGAATCTTTGCTACGGTACTCGAACTACCGTAATTATATCCTGCCCTTTTTGAACGATTTATTTATCATGAAACCCTATTTTCACGATTTATTTATCTTTTTTCATCTTCCTTAGCCTCATAAATTGCTCTTTTCTCATCTTCCTTAGCCTCCTCTCTCTCGCTCTCATCCATTGTACTTGTACGCAATAATAATTGGTGACAACAGAGTGAAAATTGTTTTACACTTTAGTGGTTTTTCAAGAGGAAATCTAATAATGGACGTATTTTCTAAGACGATGGCGACATAAAGGTTATATTTTTTAGAGGGATCACATCATTTGATCAAGTAAATAATCATTTGTCAAAAGTATCAAATTATGCCCCAGGTTCTATGACTATTAGGTATATTGACCCAGCGTTACCAGGTAACAGTAATATGATACGTATTGATGATGATGACGACATTGCAAATATAATGGAAGGGTCTTCTCCCATTGCTATGTATGTATCAAACAAACCTATTGAGTTCGACTCCACTGAATATCGACCATGAACAATGCGCGATAGTGGTCCATCAAGATTGGTCATGTAAGAATTTTACAATGAAATTCGTTATGTTTTTATTTATCAATATTTTGTTATGGATTACAATAATTCTCACTTGTTTTTCAATTGTTTTTTTGAATAATAGTTCTCGACCAGAGCACGTATCAAACATACCTTTGAGTCCGACTCCACTGAATATCGACCACCCACAGTGCTTGATAATGGTCTATCAAGATTGGCCATGTAACAAGTTTGCAATGAAATTCATTATTTTTTATTTATCAATATTTTGTTATGAGGTAGGATAATTCTCACTTATTCTTCAAAAAAAAATTCGACAATAGTTCCCAACCAGAGCAAGTAGTTCATAATGAAGGTGCTGCTGGCATAGGCGTAGAAGATGAGCATGATTTAGAAATCGAGCGGCATATCGACGACATCGATCCGATAGAAAGCCCAATCAGGATTAACCGTAACGAAGTTGTACTTCGACAGGGTCAGAATTTTGATGACGTACAGCCATGCCATAATAACCTTATTGATTATGTCATATCACAAAACTTCAATACAAAGGGATACTATTGCCTACAGTTGGGGTAGATGTGAATGAAAATATATTTCCTATAGCATATACAGTGGTTGAGAGTGAAAATACACAAAGTTAAACTTGGTTTCTAGAGCTTCTCAATGAGCAGTTTGACGAGAGGCATTATTTGTCTGCATTGATTATTGTTTCAGATTGTCAGAAAGGGTTACAAGCCTCAATTGAAAAAGTATTCACAACCAATGAACAAGGCTATTGTATGAATTACTTTGCCGATAACTTCAAAAATGCCTATAAAAATTAGACGCTCACAAGGATTTATTGGAAAGTTGCACGTGCATTATCTATATCAAACTTTGATGAGTACATGGCTAAAATTACGTGTGCAAATGCTGAGGCTTATGATTTTATCATGTTACAACATCCAAAATATTGAACAACGCATATTTTTGGGGGTGTAGATATAATCATCTGACATCAAACATCTCCAAATCATATACCTGGTGAATATTAAAGGCTCAGGAGAAGCCCATTATTAAACTCCTTGAATGCCTAAGGGTTAAGCTCATGGGAAATTTTTCAAAGAAGATTGAAGGCCCAAGAGGTAATAAACATAAGGAAGGATAAGTCCAGATTCTTTCATACAGTCATATGGGCACATGATGGTATGTATGATATCCATGCGAATAAAAAATATGCTGTTAATCTGGTGACACATACATGTATTTGTCGGGTGTGGCAGGTTAATGAGTTGATGTGCAATCATGCGATCACCGCTATAGATCATAGACATCAATATGTCAGAGTTTTGTGGTGTTTATTTCACAGTTCAAATATATCGTAGAGCATGTTCCATTCCCTTCAACCCAATGCCTGATGTACTAGAGTTGCCAGATGTTGTTTATACAGCAGTAATGTCGTCAGCTGCAAGGCAAACCGCGGGTCGGCCAAAAAAACGACACATGCAAACAGAGTACAAAGATATTAGGGATCTTTAAGTGTAACTGATGTGGGGTCGTGGGCCATAAACGGAAGATATGCAAATCAAGTATATGAAATGATGTAAATAGGTCATTAGTGTCAGTTAATCTTTTTTTGATATGTCAGTTTGTTTTTGAATTTGTAAATAGGCAATTCCTTGCTGATATGACTTTTTGGTTCAAAAAATGAAATATCTAAATTTCTTGATTTTGATGAGTGCATGTTCAATTTTTAAAAAGTATATGTTGAAGCTTATTCAATTTTAAAAAGAAGACTTAATCTTAATGTATTGTATTGTTTATGTGTTGTTTATAGAAGACTTAAGTTGAATCTTAATGTAATGTGGTATGTGATTGTTCATATTTTTTTAAAAAAAGTGTAAAATTAATTACAATAAAAATAATACCGTAATACTCATTACGGTCTTTAAACTAATTATGTGTGGCATGTAATTGTTCATTTTTTTTTAAAAAAAAAAGTAAAAATAATTATGGTCATTCTTTTACCGTAAAGCCCAGTTTTATATTTACGGTAAAAAATTTACCGTTATAATCTTTATGGTCTTTCGTTTACCGTAAAGATCAGTTAAGCATTACGGTACTCAAAAGACTGTAATGCTCCAAAACTCAACATCTTTTTGCAGGGCCTATTTGGGCATTACGATCTTTAGGGTACCGTAATGCTTAGTAGATATTTACAGTATTAAAAAGACCGTAATGATTATTATGGTAGATTTTTTACCTTTACGATCAGTTAAAGCATTACGGTACCCAAAAGATCGTAATGCTTTAAACCTCCATAACTTTCCAGAAGCTTTTGGAGCACTACGGTCTTTTGTGTACCATAATGCTTTAACAGATCTTTACGGTATTAAAAAGATGGTAATGATTATTATAGTAGATTTTTTACTGTAAAGATCAGTTAAAGCATTACGGCATGCAAAAGACCATAAAGATCAGTTAAAGCATTATGGTACCCAAAAGACCGTAATGCTCAAAAAGCTTTTGGAAAAATTGTGGAGTTTTGGAGCATTACGATCTTTTGGGTAGTGTAATGTTTTAACTGATCTTTAAGGTAAACAAAAGACCGTAAAAATTATTATGGTAGTTTTTTTACCGTAAAGATAAAACTGATATTTAGGTAAAAGAAAGGCTATAATTATTTTTATATTAAGAGACCGTAATTATTTTATTTTAAGTCTTCATTTTAAAATTGAATAACTTGAACAACACATACTTTTTAAAAATTGAATGTCTTCACATCACTTCTTTTTAAAATTGAGCTTGAACAAAACTTCTTTTTAAATTTGAACTTTGTGACACATCCAACCTATTTAATTTCTCATCAAATGGTTGTAAGGAATTGTGACACATCCAAGCTATTAAATTTCTCATTCCAATAAGCATATAAGATGCAAAGGATGGTTATAAATTCATTGAACCAACAAAACACAAATACACAAAAAATATACAAATTTCACAAAATATTAATATTTCAACTTTTCATAAATAACACACATATCACAAAAAAATTGTATAGGCACTACTGACCTCTTTACACAGTATAGACACTACTAGCCTCTTTACAACAAAAAAACATCAAATACCATAATGAACGCTTTCGTCGTACTGCCAACTTCTTACCCCGCTGTGGCATCTACAATTCTGTGTTTGAGCTGCTCTCCTGTTGTCTTACCATACAATGACATAACTGCCATCTAGGCTCCTCTGCTTGAATTGGTGTGGGGATGAGTTGTATATTACTTAGCCCCTCATTTGATTAAGAAGGGAGCCATACTGGTGGTATGTTATCTTCCATTTCATCATCCAACTCCAATTCCTCAGATGCATCCTCATCCTCTACAGTTTCTAGGTCGTAAATTTTGAGCGTATCTAATGCTTCCTCAATTAGGTTCCAATTTCTTGAATTGTAACATTTACGTACAAGTCGCATTGCATGACTAATATCCCTAGGCTGCTTCAACTCATATGAAAATAGATTATTGAGACTTTTAAAGTTAAAATGTCGTGAATAAAATAACAACGATTCTAAAATATTATTATCATTTTATCGTCATCATTTATCATAAATTTGAAGGGACGTTTCCTAAATGGATTTTGGATTAAGGGCCTACCCTTTAGCCTGTACCACTTAATGTATTCTTTTGTCGGCTTTCAATTGAATATATATTCATCTACCTGACACATATAATCTAACATATTCATCCACATGTCTA